CCAAAGCCAAATTCCTGCCAAAAGCCCTGGCTCATGCCAAAGCCAAAGATTTTGGAAAGCCAGGCCAGAACATCACTAGAGAACTCAGGGAACGACGTCGACGCTGGAATCAAGAATCACTAGCTTCTTATGCCAAAAAAAAAAAAAATTCGCGCTTTCAACATGATACCGGACGCCGGGAATCGAACCCAGACTCCCGCTCAAAATTCTGATTGAACAGGCCATCGAGGGCGTGTGTACCATGCACCACATCCGAGTCGTCCTTTTCGTTGGATCCACGAATGTATGGGATGGGATTTCTTGCACTGCGGAATCACAACTTAATAGTTTATGTAAAAAAAGCCAGTCGTTCAATAAAGAATCCCGGACACCAGATCGAACCCAGACTTCCCGCTTGCTTCCGCTAACAATATTCATCGAGGGCGGGTGTGCACCATGTCCAAGGCATTTTTCGGGTAGTAGTGGTTGTCAAATTTAGAGATTGCGAAGCTCTGAAAGATTCAATTCAATATTAATTATCTGAGACGTGCACGTGTGGATCGTTGAATTCGAGCTCAGGAGTACTAGTCAAGTGACCCGCTGGCTCTGGGAGTCGAACCAGAAGTTTCCGCACGATTCAAATACCTAGAGCTAAAGTGAAGCAAATTAAAGGCGGGGTGATATATTCGGAGGCAAGTTAGATCCATAAGTTTAATAATTAGTGGATGGAAGGTTTCTACTTAAGTGGGCCGCAACGGACGGACGGGCTGCAGAATCAGGTTACAGCTCAAAAAAAAACGCGACATCATAAAGAATACATCCCAGACGCCGGAATCAAACCCAAGCTCCCCGCTTGATTAACATCCGATTCAAGCAGCAATCGAGGGCGGGTGTGTACCATGCCTCACGTCCGAGTCGTCCTTTGAGTTGGATCCACGAATGTACGAACATCACCTGTACACGCGCACCATCGCCGACTTCCAGTTCAACGCCGGGTCGTGCCTCCAGCTCGAGTTTCGACTAGCGAGATGGTGCGTTTTTCTTTGGTTGCAGGCTCAGCAGTGGTGTTGGTGCGTACCGTTTATATTTATAAACTTCCTCTAGCTATTCGCTCCCTGTTCTCTTCTCCCACCCGATTGCTCGCTCGTTCGCTCTATTTTCGCCTCTCCACACGCTACTAGGAATTTCCGACGCAGTCGGCAGAAAATTTGCTTCGAGAGAGGCTGGCCCGAATATTTTTCACTCGGCATGCATGTAGAATTGTGTGAGCAGTCAGACAAAGGAACCATTGAAATAGGCCAAAGATACAGGCCCTGCTTTATACCAGTACCGTCCCACTCGATTATTATATGCTGACTTCACGGGTTCAACTAGAATGGATGTCGCGAGATTGATTATTCAAACTTGTGATAAGTATCTGTGAATTTACACTCGGGATATGTATGTTCGAAACATATACAGCGTTCAGTTACAAAAGGAATAGCATAGGTGGTATGTCGTCGTAAAAATTGGATCCCTGATCATTCTCCTCTGCGCAGTCGTTTTCTTCGGGATCAACTATCAATATGTTATCAGACAGGGAATACTGTTCTTTGGGCGATTCTGTGGCTCACCACGGGCAAATGGAGGATCCACCTCATCAGACAGTTGGAAAAGTGGGTCTCCAAGATGTCGTGCAATGTCCTGGCTATCTGGATCAAAGCCTTTGCTTTGGTGGAATTGACGGAGTCCGGTATAAACACTTGCAGGCCATGAATCGCCATACAGTGTCGTCTCGAGCCATAGAGATGGGAATCCAAGCCGTATCGCCGCATCAGTGCTGAGCCGTTCGACACCTGCTGGGTCAAGGGACAATAAGCCGGAAAATCTGGCCATCTGAATGATGATGTCCCGGCCTGCAAGTAGTTTACTGGGCAAAGAAATAGATAGCCAGAAGGTTTGTCTTGCGTAGTCGCCGAGATTTGGATACTGAAATTGATATCGTCCACAACAACTATTTAAGAACGTTACAAGTGAGACCAAGCACGGACTTTAAACGTACAATAATTGTTGAAATTGGATGTGATCTGCAGGCGGTCGAAAATGTGATTTGCTTGACTGAACCAAGACCGCCCAAGAGTGTAACACCACATTTTTGCCCAGAGAGTACAGTTCAGTACATCAGTGGAGCTGAATCTTGAGTAACCATATTAGGATGGATCACCTTTCAAAACACGATGTATTACCGGGTCCAGCCGTTTGCCATGACCTCTCCCCCTGGTCCATACCAACGACCACGGCGAACCTCCACATCTGGCAAAGATGCAACCTCCACCCAGTCTTGCAGTGATCATCCGAAGAACAGTTAATTACCGCACCGAGATTCACGATCACATAACTGGATACGGAGAGGGTTCGACCCTGTGCCAGATTGAAATAGCATATTTCGTGATACTGTTTTAGGGTCAGAGAATTGATGGCCATGGCCTCTTGGCCTGATGGATCCAAGGAAGTGAATCCCTGGCGGGGGATTATCCCATCAATGTCGGAGTCCCAGTCGAAGGTGTTGCTAGATATGAGGTCCGCGCAGAGCCCAGTTGAGCAACAGATCCAAAATGTGCACTCGAAGTCATACTGGAGTCACTGTTAAAAAGTCAGGTCCCGCCAGAAGACAAGACTCACCAATGACTGTTGACAAGTGGAGTAAAAATAACTCTGCGCGTCCTATGATGGTGTCAGCGGCAGAGAAACTAAGCAGAATTTTGCAGACCCTAAACTCCGTGTTCTGCAGGCAAATGAGCATTCCGGAATCGGAAAGTGATAGATGTACATACGCAGAATCCGTAGATATACACAGTGACGATAGGTGAATGGCAATACAGTTCCAGGAAATGCTCGAACGGTATTAGATCTAATTCAGCAAGTTCAGGGAGTCGTCTCAGAAAATTTGTCTGCACACCATCATTGAACACTGCAGCATGAATCGTTGGCGAACTTGCAAACGGGAAAGTTGCACGAAATTTGGATGACTAGAAAGCAAATATATCACTGAGGAGTACGGAGTCACGTCATTCATACCGCAGCCGCGAATAGCGTCCCATGTCCTCCGTCCATTTCTGCAAAGGGTAATGAAAGAACATAGCGAGAAGAATAATAGAACGCACCTCTTGGGCACCCATCCCTTGATATACGGCGACAGTCACATCCGACTTCCGACCTTCTATTTTCGCGGTATATACACGTCTCACGCGCGGCCGTTCATGTCGGCGTCGGCAATCGGCAATACCCGTGTTGTCTAGGCGTATTTCGCGCAGCAGGTCTATGTCTCCCACTGGAATCCTGCGGAAATCTGGCTAATATGTAGCGTATTCTTGCCAGATTTGTGGACAGAACATACGATGAGGCATAGATGGAGCAGTATTCTGGTTGGTAATACTCGTGAAGGCACCGCCAGTCACAGTGAAATGCTGGGAGCGAGAGAAAATGGCACCGCTATACCTAGATTAAACACCGTCAGACATGATCTACTTGGACTACAGAAGCACCCACGATACAATCTCAGGGTCCTCAGAGGTCGGGTCCGAGGTCAACTCGGGCTCTTGGTAGTGGTCATTGTCCATGGATCGTCGTCGATGGTGGTGGAAGGAAGAAGAGAAGGATAGGCGCCGATTCACAGCTCTCATCGGATTTAAGAAGGCCCTGAAATAGACATCAACTGTTGAGTGTGCCGGTGGAGCTTCTGGAATTCCAACAGAAATGCTGTATGGCGCGTCAGTACAGCACTGAGCAAGAAAATAATGGACCAACTAGGCTGCCAGGTTTTACTTCAATGATCATAATCCGTGCAGTGCAGGGAGTCCGAGCAGAGACACCACTGACATATAATTATATTTTTATCATGGAGATCGCATGGCCTTGAGCCGAACCCGGAACTTCCCATCCTACAAGTCTCAAAGCCAAGCAAACAGCATTTGAGGTGGGTGTGCCCCACGCCCCACGTCCCAGATATCCATTCGGGTAGTAGTGGTCGTCGAATTGAGAGATTGCGAGGCTCTGAGAGGGTGCGATTCAATCAACTGAGCCGTGCCAGTGCGTGCGGACGGTACGCGTTGAATCGAGCTTATGAGTGCAGGTACAATTCAAGTGCCTCGGGGAGTCGAACCAGAAATTCCCGCACAATCCAAATTCCCGCTTAATGCTAAAGCAAATCGGGTGCGCCGTGCACCACGTCCGAGTGATCTTTTCAATCAGATAGAGTCCACAAATTGAATTTGGTAGTGGATGGAAGGTTTCTACTTACGTGGATTGTAACGGCTGCAGAACCATGGGACAGCTCAAAAAGGCAAACACGACATATACATCCAGACGCCGGAAATCGAACCCGGAACTTCCCATCATTCAAAGATCCTCGAAAGAGAGCAAATTTGAGGTGGGTGTGCACCATGCACCACGTCCGAGTTGTCCTTTCAGTCACGTAGATCCATTAATGGGTGGGACTCCCGTAAACAGGAACGACGTTGCGGAATCACGATTTAACAAATTTATGTAGCAAAAAGTCATGAACTACCAAATAATCCCGGACGCCAGGAATCGAACCCAGACTCCCAGCTCGATTAATAATATCATTTATACAAATAACAATATTGAGGGCGGGTGTGCACCACACATACACCGCGTCCAAGGTATCCTTGCGGGTAGTTGTGGCTGTCAAATTGAGAGATTGCGAAGCTCTAGAGGGTTCAATTCAATATTAATTATTTGAGACGTGCACGTGTGGATCGTTGAATTCGAGCTCAGGAGTACTATAGACAGTCAAGTGCCTCACTGGCTCTGGGAGGCGAACCAGAAATTCCCGCACGATTCAGATACTGGAGCTAAAGTAAAGCAAATTAAATGCGGGGGTGATATTTTCAGTGAGGCAAGTTCGATCCACTGTGCACACATTTAACACTGTGGATGGATGGAAGGTCTCTACTTACGTGGATGGGCTGCAAAATTAGGTTACAGCTCAAAAAGAAAACACACCATCATGAACAATGCATCCCGGACGCTGGGAATCGAACCCAGACTCCCCGCTTGATTAACCGGAATTCAAGCAGCATTCGAGGGCGGGTGTGCACCATGCACCACGTCCGAGGTGTCCTTTTAGTTGGATCCGAATACATGAATGGATGGGATTCCACATCCGAATGATATTTCCAGTTCCAGTAACAGTTCGATCCAATGTGCACAAATTTAATAGTGGATGGAAGGTTTCTCCGTCGGCTGCAACGGATACGCTGTGACATGATTCTGCAACGTCGCATTGAAGTCGCATTGAAGTCGCAAAAAGAAAACATGATATCGTCAATGCATCCCGGACGCTGGGAATCGAACCCAGACTTCCCGCTTGCTTGCCAAATGTTGATCGAGGGCGGGTGTGCACCACGCACCGCGTCCGAGTTTGTCCTTTTAGTTGGATCCGAGTACATACGCGAATGGCAATGGATGAGGTTTCCCGTAAACCTGGAGCAAACCACAATTTACTCGTTTCTGTAAAAAAAGCCATCAACAACTAAACAAATAATCCCGGACGCCAGGAGTCGAACCCAGTACTCCCCGCTTGATTAACGTCGGATTCAGAGGAAACGACAACGTATTAATATCTGTATGTAAAAAAACCAAGCTTTCAATGAATAATCCCGGACGCCGGGAATCGAACCCAGGCTCCCCGCTTGATTAACATCGGATTCAACAACCCATCGAGTGCGGGAGTGCACCATGCACCACGTCCGAGCTGGCCTCTTAGTTAGATCTATGGGATTTTGTGTAAACATGACCGAGGAACGACGCTGCGAATGACAACCTACCTACAACTCACTACTTGAATAATTCATGTAAAAAAAACCGCTCGTTCAATCAAGAATCCCGGACGCCGGGAATCGAACCCAGACTCCCCGCTTGATTGCGATTAGTATGATCCTTCATCGAAAGCCGGTGTGCACCATGCACCACGTCCGAGGTATCCTTTCGGTTACGCGAAGCCCTGAGTGGGTGCGATCCATCCAAGCACTCAAGTCGTGACTCCGAGAACCAAAAACCGTAAGAGCTCGAGAGTACGATAGCTAGTCTGAGTCAAGGGGTCATGACACTAACAGTGCGAGTAAAATATAACATCAACAGTACGAGTAGGATAAAATACATCGTGATACATCGTCCTCCATTGCGATCCATAATACAATACAATAATACAATGATACAATACAACATGGGTAGTGTGGTATCAGAACGAAAACAGCACTCTTGAGCGACTTCGATTGGGATTCGGATTCGGATTTGGATATCCAGGCGCCGACTGGCGGAAGGGAAAGGTGTTACATTGTTGGATCCTAATTCGTCGAAATCGTCAGTCAAACCATCACCCCACTGAACACAACCCAACGAAAAAAAAAAGAACAAAAAAACCCACCTCTTCACCCTCGGATCCTCCACAAACACCTCCCCCTCCCTAATCGTCCGCGCCCACCCCCCCGCCTCGTCCAGCTCCCTCCGGAACGTACACACCGGGTTCCCACTCGGATCCGCGGCGCATCGCTGCACGAGGGGGAGGTGTTGTGGGAAGGTGGCCATGTAGAGGAGGGATTTGGCGGTGGCGCGGTGCCAGCGCTCGTAGAATTGGATCTGTGTTAGGGTTAGTCGGTGGTTGGTAGTTGGTAGGAGGTAGGAGGTAGGAGGTAAGCAATCGGTAGTAATGAGATAAGGGAATGAGATTAGGAAAGGGTGATTGGATTGATGTATGGAGTGGATGTTTGGAGTGGATGTGGGAATGGAAGATGGAAGATGTGAAAGGAAGACGCACCCAAGTTCTAAACGTCTCGGGCGGGAGGATTTCGAGCGCGTGCGCGGGGCTGAGACCCATGCTCTGCTGCGCGGATTCGTTCGCGAGGGCGATGTGGTCGTACCGCAGGGCGTACAGCAGCACCTCGAGCGGGTGCGCGGGGATCGCGTCTCTAGAGTAATTCACACACACACCAGTCAGCAACGCTTCCTCAAATAGCATATACACAAAAGAACGCAACGCACTCCATCCGCATGCGGCACACCGTCAGCGCGGCGTAGACCATGTACTTCTCCGCGGCCTCCGCGAGGGCCGCGAGCGTCGGGAATGGGAGCGTGTGGAGGTCGGGTTGGGGCTGGGGGTACATGAATTGGAAGAGGGGGCCGAGGACGGAGGCGGGTTCGGAGAGTTCGACGGTCTCGTCGCAGTCGGAGGAGGTGGCGTTTGGGGGACGCGTCGCGTCCGCCGCGCCGGCGAACACGCCTGAATGCGTTTCGAGGTTCTTGCGGTGGACTTTGAAGAGGACGCCGTCTGAGGAGGAGACGGTGAGGTCCGCGTCAGGGGCGCAGACTGTGTTTGTCGAGAACGAGCGTCAGTGGATGGAGGGTGGTATTGAGTTGAAACTACGTACATTCTGGGGATGTTTGGGAGTCGCCATGAGAGGAGCTTTTGGCGAGGGTGGGGTGGGGTTGTTGAATATATACTAATACTGATATAGGCAAGTCAGCGTGCCTGGCCAATTTACTTATGTACAGAGTCTTCTGACATGACAATGATCGGGCCCGGATCCAATGCTCGACTGCAATTAACGCGAGACTGGGCGAGGCCATCCGGGGTGTAGAAAGCGGAGGAGGGACGGATCGGAGAGGAGCAGGCTATGAGTCCGTGCAACGAAACCGACACGAAACTCGCGCTCATCACGGTGGTGAACAACAAACCCGATCACGTCAGCAGGCACTCGTGAGCAAACACTGCCAAACACTTGCCGTTTCTTTTTATTTGGATGACACCTTCTTTTCTAGAACTCAAAGAGTCCTCGGCCCGAATTCTCTTGACTCGTACTGGGCCCTTCCAAGCCGGTTCTCGACGTCCAGACTCGTGAGTTTGAACGCCAACTACGGAGACTCGTCAAGAAACCGCTCGCTTTTTAAATTTACCTCTGGCTGAGTAACTCGGGAGTCGGGAATCGGCGGTCTCCCATGGCCAGTTGGCAGTGATACCCGGCGACTACGCTTGACTACCTCGGTTCGACGGAATGAGGTCTCATGAACGGGCAAGATTACTGTCATGTTTACCCGCGTCCTGGGCAGAGCTGTCTCAGTGCGTACAACTTGAAACCGAGAATGTCGGAGGCGGGGAGGGGCGCTG